GCTGTGCCCCCACCTGCCACGGCTGCTGCCGGGGGACCCCCGCACCCCCAGCTCAAGTAAGGGGACCCCTCAGCAGCCCTTGCCTTGCTGCTCACAAAACCTGCCCCTGCACCAGGAGAGCAGCCCCAGCTCCCCAGCTCCTCAGACCCAGATCCCATCCAGGGGCCCTGAGAGCTCTCTCTCCAGGCTGTGCCAGACCCCTCCCCCAAACTATCACCGCTTTCAGTCCAGAGGCTCTTGCCTTCCATCCCAGGTTCTTTTCCCTCCATCTGAGAGATTTGGTGCCAGAATCCCAGAGAAACCCCACTTTCAGTTCAGAGTCTTCCCAGTCCCCTCCTCCAGCCTGGGCACCTAGCTGAGCCTCCTTCAGTATCTCCCTGCCCACCAAGTCCTCCTCCCAAATCTTCCTCCCATCTCGGAGCCTTCCTGGCCAAACTAATCCTCCTTGACTCCTCCAAGCCCAACCTGACTCCTCCCAGCCAATGCCCCCACCCACCCCTACCACCCAGTTCACGTCACACTCTTTCCAGTCAGCCCCATACTTTTCCTACAGTGTAGGCCAGCGATTTTCAACACACTTTTCATCTCATGGCACTGCGGCACACCAAAAAATACTTTTGCCAATGTGACCCCCCCCAAAAAATAGGTATAACTTTCATTCACACCGGACAGCTATTGTGTTGCCTCTGTTGTCATTTTTTAAAAATTTGACAATCTAAGGGAAAAGAGGTTGGTCCTCTAACTACATAGTCACGTATTGCATATTTTAAAATTCTTGTAGCACACCAGTTGAAAATCGCTGGTCAGGCTCCTTTCTGGTCTATCCCCAAATCCTCCTGGTCCATCTGTCTCCTCCCAAGTCATCACACCATCCTCTGCCTCTTCTTGTCTGTTCCAGACCTGCTCCCACCTTAGCTCAAAAGTCCTCACTGCCCCACCCAACTGCTCCCCCTTAGATTTGTCCCTCCCAGCCCGTCCTTGGTATAAGCCCCCTCCCTCCTGGACTCCTTACCCTTGGACTGGATACCTCCCTGTCCATCTTCATCTTTCTATCAAATTCCTCCCAGTCTATCCCAGATTTGAAGAGAAGATTCAGTCCAAGACTCTTCCCATTAATCCCAGACTTCTTTACCTTAGATCCCAGTGCTCCTGGCCTGGACCAGGGCTCCCCGACTCCCACCTGATAACCCATAAGGGACCAGGACCATGCTGATGGGGGGGGGAGGGTCACAGGCACCGCCCCAGGACCAGAGGGACAGGGCTGGGGCTGGGGCTGGGCCTGGGGTAACATTGTGTTTCTCTCCCCCTCCTCCCTTCCTCTTCTCCCCTTCCTCCCACACCTCCTCCACCTTGTCTCTCTCTAGCAAATCCCAGTCTCTGACCAATGCCTTCAACCTTCCAGAGCCAGCCCCGCCCAGGCCCAGCCTTAGCCAGGACGAGGTGAAAGCTGAGACCATCCGCAGCCTGAGGAAGTCTTTCGCCAGCCTCTTCTCCGACTGACACCCCACCCTGAGAACCCCCAATATCCCTGGGTAACCCCTCTCTGGGCCCTGAATCCACTTCTCACTTTTGGAATCTCCAACTCCCTTGAGAAGCCCTCTCCTGGTTCACCAAGATCCTTCTTCTCACTCCTCAGAATGCCCACGTCCCTAAGGAAACCTCACTTCTGGTCCTAAACCTATTTCTCATGTTTGGAATTCCCAAGTTCTTGGGAAGCCCATTCCTGGTCACCTCCAAATTCCTGAGGACCTCCACTCCCAAAGTATGGTTTCCTTTCCAGAAGTTCCCGAACACCAGGCAACCCATTCTGGCCCTACATCACAGAGTCCCCTCCTGGGGTCCTGAAATTCCTTGAAAACCATACTCCTGGTCTGAGATCGCTCAAGCACACTTAGTTCCCCACCAAAATTTCCCAAATCCTTAAGAAACCCCTACCTTTGAGCTCTCTTTCACGGATCTCCCATTTCTGGAGACCCACCTCTTCCAATGCCACCACCCAGTCCCATAAGGATTTCCCTTCACCTCCTCTCCCAACTCTATTCAATACATTGGGAGCTCCTCCCTCTGGTAGGACCCCTCAGTTCCCCAGGGACCTCTGCCCCACTTTCCTGCCTCTGACAGCTCTCTCTAAATATGCAAACTCCACCCATCCTCCCAGAATCCTTTGCACATGAAAGGCCAGTGGTCCCCCACTTCCCCACCTTTGCTGTGATGTCTGTGTCTGTGACTGACGTGGCCTCCTCTCGTGGTGTGCTTGGCATATGTGGTCCTCGTTCATCGTGCCGCCTGTGGTGATGCGTGCAGTGGCGCTGTTTGTGTGGTCTGCACCTTCCCCCAACCTCCACTCCTTGCCTGGACTCACCCCCACCCCTCAGCGGCTCTGAACCCCACGAGAAGAGTCGGGAAGCAAAATAAACAAGCAAAGGCCCAGCAGAATTCTGTGCTTCTTGGTGAAGAAAGGGGGGAGTCCTTGAATGACAGGGGAGACACAGAAGGGACCCCCCCAAATCCACATGGGGTGCTGGAGACCCCAAAATCCAGTGGAAGGCACATCGGGCACAAATTCCAGAGAGGTTTCTGAGTGGAATCCCTGCTACAAATCCCAGCCATTGTAGATGGAGGAGCTCCCAAATTTAGAAGTATCCCCAAAGTCAAGAGAAAACTGAACTATGGATGAGGCTGTGGTCTCAATCTTTTGGGGTCCCCCCAGTTCCAGAGAAATTGGAAAACACATGGGGACCCCCTCATCTCCCAGGGCAGAAATGGGGAATCCCGAGGCAGTATCAGGGCAAAGATGGAACATTGATTGGTTGGTGAGCAAGGCTCCTTGGTGTAGAAGGCTGAGATTGGTTCCCTGGTGGCTGGGGGCGGGGCCTAAGGCACAAGGCGGGCTGCGCTGAGTAGGCAGGCGGGCAACTCATCAGCCTGGGTGCGATGCAAGGAGGGTTCGGAGGCACTCCGCTCAATCTTGGGGAGTGACCGCTGCAGCAGCTCAATGGTGGCCAGGATCTAGGGGCAGGGTAGCATGAGGAGGGGAATCCAGTCACACGGGCACCCCAATACCACCAGACCCCAACCTTACAGGGAAGTATATACACACACATTCTATTCCTCTGAGCACTGAACACGCATGGTTCACATTCACATCTCAGAGTCTTCCTCCTTCTCAGAGTCCCCTCCCCAGAGTATCCAGCCCTCCTACCCGGCCCACCTGGGGGAAGAGGGGCCGCTCCTCTCGCTGAAACTTGAGGCAATCAGACAGCAGGCGCCGCATGGCCTTGGGGCAGTTGCTGGAGATTTTGCTGAGGTCCGGGGACAGATAGCCGCGGCCCACCATAAAGATAATCTGGGGGGGGGGTGGGGGGGGGGGGGGGACAGAAATGGCTGATCTAGGGATCTGGGCTGGAAGGCTTGGAGAATTTCAGTTCTCAAGAAACTTAGAAGGCTCCTTTGGGGGAACTAGGGATTCTGGGTATTGGGGCTCTGAGGATTGTGGTATCTTGTGAATCCACGGATTCTGGGTCTCTGAGGCCTTGCAAGGAATCTCTGCTAGCAGAACACAGGGATTTAAGCTTGAGGAAAGTCAAGGATTTCAGGTGTCTAGGGCCGAGAGGATTATGGGTCCATAGGTTTCTAGGGGGCCTAGGGACCTGGGAAGTATTGAGTCTGGGAGAAATGTGAACTTCTGGGTCTGGAGGGGGCTAAAGTATTCTAGCCCTCAGGAGCTTGTATTTCCGTGGGGGTCTGGGGCCTGAGGACTATGGGTCCATGTGGCCTGTAGGACTATTGGTATCTGGAGTCTAGAGGATCCTCGGTTTCTGAAGGCCTGCCTTGGATCTGGACAACTGTGAGAGTCTGGGGCCTAGAGTATTGTGGATGCCAGGGCCCCAAAACCTGCCAAATACCCAAGGCCTGAATAATTGTGGGTTTCTGTACTACAGAGGCACAGAGGAATTCTGTTTCTGAGAGAAATGAGATTCTGGGCTTTGGGGACTTGCAGGATTTTGAGTACAAGGACTACGAGCCAAAGGACTGGTAGTTGTCGAGGGGTCCAGAGGACTTCTGGGTGTTGGGGGGCTGAAGGGGTTTCTGAGCATAGGAGATTCAGGAGTTTCTGAACTTTGAGGACCCAGAGGATTGTGGCTGTGGGGGAAGGGGATTCTGGGTACAGGAGATTCAGAGGATTGTGGGAGTTCTAAGCGCAGAAAATTTGGGGTTTCTGGAGGAAATGTGGCATTCTTGGTCTGTGCAAAGGAGAAAATCTGGGGTTTAGGGGCTGAGGGGGGTCCCTTAGCCTGGGAAATTACAGGTAAGGCGTGGGGCTCACCTGGTCACGGCTGCCAATGTGGCTATAAGGCAAGGAGCCGGTCATGAGCTCGTAGAGCACAACCCCATAGGCGTAGACATCCGACTGGAAGCTGTAGGGGTTCGGGTCCTGCATACGGATCACCTCAGCCGCCTTCGATAGGCCAGACCAGGCAGGAGAACCATGAAGGTCAGCCAATGGCTGGCCCATAGTTCCAGATCCCACTAGCCACACTGGGTACAACTCAGAGCCACCCACATGAGGGGAAACGTGAGCAGTCCAAACAGGCATCCCTATCACCCACTCGGCACCCCATGGCCCAGCACCCACTCGGCACCCCATGGCCCAGCCCTGCAGCCCATGGCCCTACATGCCCCTGGCCCAACTCACCATCCACAGCACAGAGCCTGAGGGCTGCTCCAAGGGCTGAGCCCCGCTCCATCTTGTCTTCACCGTGGCCAGGCCGAAGTCGCCGATCTTCACTGTGAGCCCCTCATGCAGGAAGATGTCCACCGTGGTCAAGGGCCACTACAAGACTCCCAATAGCCACACCTCTCACCCTGACTAGGGGGCTCTCATTAACACCTCCAAACCAGTCATGCCTCTAACCCTGACCAGAAGTCCCCCAATGTCACACAAACCCACCACAACCTTGACTTGAGTGGGAGCTCCAATTAGTGCCCCCTACACTTGGCCCCTTGACTTCTGAATAGGAAGCCCCTCTAAAGGCACCCATACCCACCATACCTGTGACCCTGATCAGGAACTCTCTATAATGCCTTCCACAACTGCCACACAAACTCTGACCAGAGTCCCAAGAACAGCACCTGAACAAGCCACAACTCTGACTCCTGACCAGGAGACCCTACTAAAGGTTCCTCACCAGCCACAGCTCTGCCACCTGGCAAGGGCCATGTGACACATGCCCCTCCCTATTCATCCTCAGAACCCCCCCCCCCAGCACAAGACACATCTCTCTAAGTCCTCACCCCACCCCAGCTCTGAGACTGGGACAGATAGATACTGTTAGACTTGAGATCCCGGTGGATGATGTTCTTGGCATGGAGGTAGCTGTGGGGGTGGAAGTGGGTGGCAAATTGGCTGGGGGCTACCTCATCTCCCTCCCCCAGGTTCCCCAGCCCCCTTCCTAGTCCCTAGGCCAGGAGGCTCACTCCATGCCCTGGGCAGTCTGCCGGGCCACATCAATGAGTTGGACCATGTCGAAGCGTGTGTCGGCCACATGCAGGTGGTGGTAGAGGCTGGAGCCCTCGCACCACTGTGTGATGATGGCGAACCCCGGCCGGGTCATGAAGCCCATGAACAGCAAGATGTTGACATGACGTGTCTTCCTGCAGGCAGGGAGGGAAAAGAGCAACTGTCACTCACTTTCTGAGCATTAGGAATATGCTGTTCACTGCCCTCTTCTGTCAACATTTCCACCCTGCCTTTTAGGAAGCTCAGGGCCAGACCTAGTCAGATTCAATGACTCTGTGAGATATCTTTGCTGGGCTGATTCGGAGCTGGGGCTTACGTTCTGAGCTTCTTCATCCGAGTCTCCCAACAAAAGCAGGAGGGATGGATGACTACCCCCAACCCTCTGCCACCCAGTAGGGTCTTAATCACCAACACCTGCCATACCTCTGACCCTGACTATTACCTGGGCCTGTGACCATTCTACAAACAAGAAAGTGGAATGCCAACTTATCAATATTATGCTATAGCCGTGTAATATTGATAAATGCCAGGTAAAAATATCAGTGATGTGATTATATCCTATTGATCACCACAAGAGGCTTAGCAGTAAGGAAGTTGGGCTTTGGACTCAAGTGAGATCCTATGTTCCAATCCAGGCTTCCCCAGGTACTCACTGTGCAACCTCAGGAGGACACTTACTAGTAATCTGTGTCTCATTTCCCTCAAATGTGATAATTATATTAGCTATCTTATGCAGATGTTGGGAGTGAGTAAATAATCTGTAAGGCACATACAACAGCAACGAACACAAGTAAGCCCTCTGTAAAGGTCACTGTCCTTGTTATTGCTCCTAGGTACCTGGCTCTACCTCATGGGGAACTCTGTCACATATGAATAGATCAACCCTAATTTAGAAGAAAACCTTCATTCCTTATAGAAGGATTAACTGCAGTTATGGTAGCACAAGTGTAAATACAGTTGACCCTTGAACAGCATAGGCTTGAACTGCACAGATCCACTTATACATGGATATTTTCCATAAATTACCTGTACAGTTTTCGATCTGAGGTTGGGAGTCCACGGATTCCGAAATCTGACTGTATGCACTGATCTATACCATTTTATATAAGGAATTTGAACATCTGAAGATTTTTGTATCTGTTGGGGGGTCCTAGAACCAATCCGCATGGGGACAACTAAGTTTGGGGGGAGTCTAAAGTTCCACACAAATTTTCGACTGTGCAGTGAGGTCGGCACCCCTGACCCCCACATTGTTCAAGGGTCAACTGTAACATCAGTGATGCTCTGCGATTTTGCCATGTCAGAGCCAATAACAGCACATAAGCATTCTTCATGGCAGTCATATTATGGTTAAAACATTAATGTAATGCAAATTAACAGCATGCTCAAATCATTGCTATTTCACAGAGGAAAAAAGTTTTCTTACTATGGCATCCATTATGAGGATAAATATTAAAATAGCACAAGGGGTTAGAACATCAACTCTAACACAACTGTGCTCATCTGTCAGAGAGGAAAGCCCATGCCAGCAAGCCTTGCAGTGGTAGTAACTAGAGCGGCAAAAAGGGAACACTCAGCACAAATGAGCTAATATAGTATTAATGACATGTTAAGTAGAGCAACTACAATCATTAATTAAACAATAATTAAATTATGGTTATGATTATAGTTAATACTGTTGACCCTTGAGCAACACATCGGTTAGGAGCACTGATCCCCCATGCAGTTAAAAATCCACATATAATTTTCAACTCCCTAAAACTTAACTACTAATAGCCTACTGTTGACCAGAAGTCTTACTGATAACATAGTTGATTGACAAATATTTTGTATGTTATATACTATATATACTATATTCTTACAATAAAATAAGCTAGAGGAAAGAAACTGTTAAGAAAATATGAGGAAG